TTCATGGATCTAAAAGAAAATTACCATTCTTAGTCAATATTTCTCTCTCTCCTTTGTAAAAATTAATAAATACTAAGATTTGCTTTCTTCCTTCTCTCTACTTCTTTAAATTTTTTGAAAAAACGGGAAAAATACCACATGAGATGTGTGCCATAGCTACCACGGTACTTCCCTGACATTCATTTTAAACTTTTTAAAAAGTTGAGCCATGTAGTAATTGATGGTCAGTTATTTGTATAAAACTTAAAAAGTTAATTCATATAAAATTAGAAATCATCACCAATCATACAAAGATAATAAGTCACAAAATACCATTTATATAAGAGTGTTTCAAATAGTTAAAAATTGATATTCAAAATTAGATATCAAAGTTTGAATTCTTAATGTGGGTGTAATGTGGGTGAAGACGGGTTACAAGAAGAAGAGAACAATTTCTTTTAATTTAAGAAAAAAAAAATCCACGTAACCAAATTATAAGGAGGGCTTCTAAAATAGTGTATGAGAGATCTCAAGATTAAACCCATTAATATATAAGTGTTTTTAAGTCTAGTTTCAAGTTTTAAAGTTAACAAAATTTTATAAAAATTTAATTTTTTTTGAACATTAAGTTAATGCAAGGATGAGTTTTAACACTCAAGCTCTACTCTAGTGATTAAAACTCTAAATTAATAAGAATTATTTTTTATGAATTATATATTTGAGTTCCATAAATCTAAAAATTGATATGAGTTTTAAGATCACCCCAAAAAAATTGACCTCAAGGGATAGCTCCCTTATAATCATAATTCGAAAATGCATAGAAAGAGATGTCTGCACATCCTAATTGTCCATTAAAAAAAAAAAAAGAAGGTTGTTTATAGAAATTAGAAATTGTTGCTAGAACTTCTCTCTATAAAAAAACAGATATGTCTTGATGACACATTTATTTCGTGTCAAAAATGGATGAGATCTTGCACAGATATGTGTTGTCCACGTCCAGTAGTTGAACTTGCTTTTATTTGGTGGTAATTGTTTGCTAGCTAGCACATATATATCTTTGAAATTGTAACATTTTTTTTTTTTTA